GTCCACATAAAAGTAGTTCCAAATCCAAGTTCTAAGATACAAATTAATTCAAAAATTCCCGAATTGTACAGTTTTTTGAACAGTTTCATACCCCCACCTAAAAAGCAGATATTCTGTACAGTTTTCAAAATAATAGTTGACATAGACAACTTCCCAGACGAACGGCAGTCTCTTCATTGAGCAAAACATTCATTTTTAAAAATGTTTTCGTGGAAACCATATGCTATCTTTTGATTGGTGATAGTCTTGTACCAAAAAAAGTGTTTTACTGTAATACGTGAATACTGAGAGAAAAAAGAAGTAGCAGAATTTTAATGCTACTTCGGTTAAAAACAAGACCAGGTTTGGCTATATACGCCAAAAACTTACGAAAAAATATGAACATAAATGAAGAATTGTAGAAGAAAAATTGTACATAAAAAGTTTTTTTCAAGGAGAAACGGCGTGTTTTAATCCCGCTGTGCTGATTCGAACACCACTCTGAGTTTGACAATAATATGTTCAGTCCTTAAAAAATATTTTCCTTACCATCATATCATTCTTCTTTAGAACTACAAACGCCAATCTGGTTTTTTGCTGACTTACAGCCTTGTCTTTGTTGTAAATTTTGAACACTCCCCGAAAGTCGACAAAGAAAGCAAAAAGAAAAAAAAAAGCAAAAATTTGTCCAGTGCCTTAAAAATAAATACTAGACAGTTGATAATTATGAGACGCTAAAATAATGTAGATAAACGATAGAATAACAAATTATCACGTAAATACCAATTGAAAGTAACTATTACTGCAAATAAAGATCATCATTAACTAAAGCAAAGCATTTTTGGATAAGGATCCAGAATATCACCGGAATACTTCAGAGCATTTAACCCATTTCTTCTTCTTCTTTTCTTTTTTTTTTCTTTTGAAGAAATAAGACAGAAGCAAAAAGCAGGAAAAAAAGAAATTTGTACAATAAACAGTGGAAAATTCATTTTTGCTTAGCCAGTTAGCCCTTGTTACCCGCACTTAAATAATGTAGTATTTTAGCGATAAGGAAAGGATAGACAGAAAGATAAAGAGGAAATTGAAATTTAAAAGTCAACAAGTTCATAAAACATTATTTAATCAACACAGATACAGCAGGTGACTGAACAATGCAGAGGTGTTTTACCATTACCGCACAAAATAGTGGATTAATAATAACGGCAATGAGAACAGTTTTTAAGATCAAATAAAAGCGATCCAAAACTAAAGTTGGATAAATTTCAAGTGATAATTAACAGACAGCAGCAATAAACGTTTTACTGTAACCCACACCACACAAATTTATGTATAGAAAACTTCAGCAAACTTCTACAGATTATCAGTGAACAAAACGTAAACTAAAACTAGATTATTTCTAAATTTCTGAATAATTTCTGATCTTTTGTTTAAAAAAAAAACTTTTTAATGATTTATAATGTACTTCAAAAATGTTACAGTTAAAACCAAAAGCAAAAGAAAAAAAAAAACAAATGAATAAAAAACTGTTTTTGTTTGACTTGTTTTTTTTTTTAAATCATTGAAAATCAATCAAAAAATCAACTTGTTTCTTCTGCTTTTTGTTTTTGTACAATTCTAATATTTCTCATGTACTACCTCTATTGTTCATTAATTCAGCAGCGTTCATTTTTTATACCTAAGTAACAGCGATTATACGTTAATTCCCTTTCACAAATATCAACAGTTTTTAAACTGTGCTGTAAGAATTTTTTTACAACAGTTTTACCTCACAATGGCAGTTCACCAAAAGCGACTTATTGACAGTGTACCAATAACCAGCAAAAAAAAAAAAAAGAATGCAGGTCAGTGTAAAGAAATATATTTGAAGCCACCTGATTCTGTTAACCCCCGCAGGACACTTGAGTGGAAGAAACAAAGTAAAATAGAAAGTGTTTGACCAAAAAAAAAGTGTAAATCAATTTGGTTTTGTCGCTTTTATCATCACTTCAAATTTCAGTCGTTACTGTTAATACCATTCAAGATGAACCAGCGAGAACAAGACCAAAGCACAGGCCGTATCGGTAAACCAGAGTACTTCCAAATGAACGTCTTCAGGTACTAATAAAAAACTAATTATTATGATAAGACAGTTTGTTAAATATTATGAAAGCAAAC